ATGACGTATGCTGACCAGTGGTGTCCTCCAGGGCTCAGTACTTGAACCAGTACTCTCTAATATATTCATAAATGATCTGGATTCAGGTGTCAGAAGCAGATGGGCCAAGTTCGCAGATGACACCAAATTATGGGGAAGTGCAGTCACACTATAGAATAGGCTGGCAATTCAGGCCGACCTGGCCAGGCTCACAAGGTGGGCAGATCAAAATCTGATGACATGAAGCATGGAGAAACGCAAGGTGCTTCACCCTGGGAGAAAAAACCCACATCATACTTATAGGCTCAGCAGTGCTATGCTCACTGGCACCATGACTGAAAGAGACTTGGGGGCCATGACTGACCACAAGATGAACATGAGCCACCAATGCAATGCTGCAGCCAGCAAAGCAAATAAAACTCTGGCTTGCATCTACTGATGCATCTCAAGCAAGACCTAAGAAGTCACCCTCCTGCTTTACTTGACCTCGATGAGACCACAGCTGGAGTACTGCATCCAGTTCTGGGCTCCACACTTTAGAAAGGATGGGGAGAAGCTTGAGAGAGTCCAGAGGAGAGCCACGCACGTGATTAGAGATCAAGAGAATAGGCCTTATGAGAAGATACTGAGAGGCCTGGGTCTCTGCGGCCTGGAGAAGGGAAGGTTCAGGAGTGACTTGGTGGCAGCCTATAAATATATAATGGGCGTGCATCAGGAACTGCAAGAATGTCTGTTCACCAGGGCACCCCAAGGGAAAGACAAGGTCTAACGGTCACAAACTGGTGGAAGACCGTTTTAGACTAGACATAAGGAAAAACTTCTACGTCGTCCGAGTCTCCAGAGTCTGAAACAGACTCCCCACAGAAGTGGTGCAAGCACCTACTCTAGATACGTTTAAGAAACACTTGGATGCTTATCTTGCTGGAGTGATCTGACCCCAGCTGACTTCCTGCCCCTTGGGCAGGGGGCTGAACCCGTTGATCTCAAAAGGCCTAGTGTCTATGAAATCTATGAAGCTTCCATGACAAGGTGCTAGTTTGCTGAATCTAGTCTCTCCATTGGGAGTGCATGAAGAAGAATAAAAAGCTATGGAAGTGATGCTACTGGTTGGTTTATCTAATAAGAATGGGAATTTGCTATGGTGGCTGGACTTTAAGGGGCTAAAGCCTCAGGGAGTTATACTCCTGTAAAAGGAGGCTGTAAACCAGGGATGGGCGCAATGACGGATTTGGCCAGCAGCCGGACTCCATTTCCCAGCATTTTCTGCCCACGTGGCTGGGGCCAGTCTCCATGGGGACCCCAGACGCCGCACTGTGATAGCACAAGGCTGGTGATGCCATGGAGACTGGCTCCAGCCACGCTGGCAGGGCAGGGGGCTGCTCCAAAGCTGCTGGGATCTTGCGACGGGGGCAGCTTGGTATGGGGCCAAGGCAGAGCCATGATCTGCCACCTGAATGCTGTGGGCAGGGGCGCACAAGCTGTGGATTGTGGCTTCACCCCAGCTCCCTGCAACGGTGACAGTGTGGCCCCAAGCTGAGGCAGAGCCGCAACCTGCTGCCTGTGCGCCACTGTTCAGAGCGTGCAGGCAACAGATAGTGGCTCTGCCCTGGCCCTGAACCAAGCTGCCCCCACTGCAAGATCCCAGCGGCTTCAGAGCAGCCCCCTGCCCTGCCTTGCAGTGCCTCCTCTACTAGCATGGCTGGGGCCAGTCTCCATGGCAACCCCAGCCTTGTGCTATCACAGCACAGCGGCAGGGGTCTTCATGGAGACTGACTACAACCATGCGGGCAGCGGCTGCTAGGAAATGGAGTCCACTGCTGTCTGGATCTGGCCCACATGCCGGTCTTTCCCACCTGTGCTGTAAACTGTTCTCCAGTATCCTAATATTGCCAAGGCTTATATGTATACTCTACCTTGTGCAGACCTCAGGCTTGTACCTGCATATCCCACATACCAAGCGAGTGTTGTAATCACCAGGATTCCAGCTATTTTGGCATTTGTCTGTCTCTGGTTTTCTGTGAAATACTTTGAAAGGTATAGTTTGGTCCCAATGTGGACTAGGAAAAAATTTCCTGTCTCTAATGTTCATGGGACAGAAAACCACACTTCCTGCTCAACTCTAGCATTAAGTACAAATTCATATCAGCAAAACATCAGGACTTCTACTCCTGGTTAGAAACTCTGCAGAGATGGGACAAGTTCAAGGAATGAGCCTGCTCAGTTATATTTCCAATCTGCATCTTTAACATTCCTAGTGTGTCTATACATGACAGAGATTCTCCCAGCATGTTTGCTGCATTACTAATGGCAAGTGGCACAAATGGCACCAAAAAAAATGACCTCTGTAGCCCCAAGCTCTTGGCAAGCTGCATCAAGCCAAATGCCTGTTGCACACACAAAAGACAGTTACTGTCGTTCAGGCTGGCTGCCACATGTTGCTGTGATTTTAATCTTTTGCTTGGCTGTTTGCATCCATGCATTTATTACATGTACTATAGTTGTAAGCCATCCCAAATTTGGAGACTGTCCTTCAGTCACTGCTCCACTGTTTTAGACTAGGGATTCTGCCTCTTATTTGTGCAGGACTCCCAGAGGACCAGTCAGATCACTGCTGCACTAGTCTGAATACCAAAAGGCAGAGCTCCTCTGAACTTACATGCATAAAACTAAAATCAGACCTGGCCAGTCCTTGCATCAGTGAGCAGTGCAGGACTGCATTTGTAATGAGAGCTTCTGCTGCTAGGTTTATTCTTTTAAAACCCAGTTCCAGACACTTGGAACAAAGCCTTTCTGCCATCAGTACACTTAGTAATTATTATGACAAACAAAAAAAAGTTCCAAAATAGTTTCTAAGACTTTCCAGTCTCCCAGCCCCCACACTTCAGCTTACCATCCTACAGCTTTACCCCATCTTCTGAACACAAATAAAACCCTTCTGGAATTTCTCTGCATTTGTTATTCCTTTACACTAGTATCACACTTCATACTTTATTGATAGGTTCTTAGCAGCTTACAAATATGGCTGCTAAAACTGAAACTGGCCATGTGCAGCAGTTCTAGAAATCCTTATTACTTGCAACTGCACTTAAATCTGGGGGAAAAAGCACAGAAAAGGACTAGCTCAAGGACTTAGTTTTCAGCCTCACTGCACTGCAGGGAAGAGTTCAATTTAAGAAAACCCTGACCTCAGCACAAGCCCTTGAAACAATCTTCCCTTTCCAAATTTTTCTGGAATTACACAGCTTTACAGTGCATAGGGCAGATGGAAGTTATTTAACCTGGCTCTTAGCAGATTAGTTATATGACAGTCTGCTTAAAAATAGATACAAGCTAAAAATTATCCATGTATAGGAACTTTCTAGCTACTATTGTTACACCTAGAATGACTAATCAGATGATGAGTGAAAATGTTTCTAGAGGTGTCTGTTTCTCTGTTTTCCACAGTCAACAGCACTCTTCATATAGTGACTTTCAGTTTGTGCCCTGTTTGCATGAATTTTTCTAACAATAAAATTTTATTTTTCTACCCTTTAATACTACACTAAAAAAAGCTATCCGGACAATTTAGGTGTTGGCTGAGTGTCTGAAGTTACTAACAACCACTTTTTTAACCTTTCAACACAAGAGAATATACAATATTCAGTATGCTGAAAACTGCATCTGAAAAAGTCATGGCATGTAACTCCTTTGACTATCTAGTTTAACCAAAGAACTGCATGTCATACAAGACAGTTCTCTATATTAATGAATACCACAGGTGAAAAATCATGCTGGGACAATTGTTTTAAATAATTATCGTATCAAATTTTGTCATTTTTAATTTTCAGCAGTCTGAATTTTCAGGGCATTGTGTAAGTCTCAAGTACCACAATGATTCGGACTTAAGCTTTTTAGGAGCACTGTCCGTTCAAATTTAAACAGTCAAATTTCCCTGAGCAGTTTCAGACAGCAGCTTCCTTTGGTACAGAGTTGCCCAAAAAATCAGTGCAGCCCAACAGACAGGGCACTGGGCTAGAAGTGCGTCTGATCCTAGCTGTCAGTGGAGCTGCAGCAACGTTTTGCCTACCTTATTTCACTTTTGTACTTTATTTCCCCTAAAACTGGGCCATTAGTCATTTACTCTGCTATACATGTGAAACATTTTGAGATCTATCGTTGAAATTGCTACACAGATGCCAAAACACATTCCTTTAAGAACAGCAGATTCAAACTTTTGCTTCAAAATATTTGAACTGGCTCCATGTAAAATTTTGCTAGTTTTGGAACCAGAAATTCAAATAGCTCTTGTCATTTTAAAAAGCAGTGTAAATGACTTACTGTCCCAAATACAAGCTAATAAACATACCCTGCCCACCCCCACATACTTTTCATGGAAGACTTATTTCTTTTAAACATCTTATTTTTAGCATAACTGGAACAAAATTACAAAAGATTTCAAAAACTATTTGAAACATCATTTTATGTGGAAGAAGAGGGAAGCACTTGGCATTTTCTGAGAAGCTTTATCAACCTAACTTGGATAATTTTGAAGATGTTCTTCAGACAGGTAACTAACTAGTTGTAAAAACTGTCATTTTGTTCACAAGTGAAAGGAAGTTTGATCCCTTGTTCACATTTTGCCTCAGAGTTTGGTATAATACAGCAAAGCTCCTTACACAAAAGAGACTGTTCTTTTCAAGAAAGGTCAGAAGGAGGTGCATTGGCAGCTTTAAGTGGTGAAAAACTATCGGATAGAGCTGTGTGTGTAGCCAAGCAAGAAAGTCCTTCACTTTTCATGAGCATCAAAAATTCACATTTCTTGGAATGGCTTGAATAACTAATTTAATTCTCCAGGAGTACTTTCAGTAAGTCAACTTCTGCCAACATGTTGTTCTATTGATTTCAAAAGGGTGGATCATCCACAAAGACTTAAAGAAGTGTCAAACCCAAACAACAATAACAAGCATTGGGAGACTAGCCCCTTTTTAAACATAAAAAGTTAATATGACTAGGGAAGGAAGTTATGTGCATAAGTTACTTACCTAACATTTCTTTCTTTAATTTTTCATTCCGTTCTTCAATTTGTCTAGGTAATCGCTGAAAGAGTACAAGAAACAAGACCAGATTCAGGAGGGGTTTTTGAGAATCCTGTATGTTCATATAATAATAGAATTTGCAATCACAAACCCATCATGTACTGCAGAAAATGTAAAGAGAATATGAATATAAATATAAACTTTCAGTTTGTTTGGAAGGCCTATTGTGTACCCTATTAGATAGGTAGAAAGTACAGGGTTCATTTATGTATCACCTGACTTCTAGGGTAGATGTTTAGATCTGTTGGTTAGCATTTTTTGATGAAAAGCTTTTGTCAATTTTTTTTCATAATTGTTTTCACAAGACTTTTTTAGTTGCACCTCCAGGGCTGCAGGTAATAGTCTTAACCAAAAAAGGTTTATAAAGAGCCACCTGCAATCAGGCACAGTGGTTAAGTTATGGACACAAACACAAGGAAGGAATGAAGACAGCTGAGAATCTGACTTTTTGTACTGGAATGAGATTGCAGGGACCTCTGCCAGTTTTATGAAAATAAATTTAGATCTGAGATTTCATGAAACAGCTTTATGGGTAGATCTCTGAGCTTGCTATGCATGAGCCTCTGGATCTCGTCTTGAACCAGACCTTTGCTATGTAGGACAAGACATCTACATCTAAGATGTCACAAAAATTTGAGCTTGAGATTTTTATCATGCAGCTGCTATATTAGGGAATGGGAAGCCCAGCAGTCATGTAGAACCCACTGTGCAGGATCGGGGGGGCTGGCTGCATATTCTTCTCCTGAACAATGTCAGGGGTAAGCCTTCTCCTCCAATGTTCAATAACATTAAGCCCAGCACTTTAAGCAATTTCAAAATCTGCTATGATTTTCTTGATTATTTTTACAGGTTTAGGCACAATTAAGTCACACTCAATTTTACCCTGCACATTCTGCAGTAAGGCTAATCAGATGAAAACGATGGAAATTACATTTTTAATAAAATGTCTGTTGCTTTGTAAAGGCATACAGTACTACTTCACCATGACAGAATTAAGGTTTCATATATAATTTTTAATAAGTCTATAGTTTCTTATGTATTTTTCACAGAAACATATTTCTTGGATACAAACTTTTAAGACAAAATAGGAATAAAGTATGAAGAGCATACATCACTGCCACATGCTCAAATGAATTTTTCTGAGGTTTTGTATTGAATCTACCAACAGATTGTTTGCTCAAATGCTCCATCTGTCACATTCATGGTAGGACTGATCACAGCTCTGTGCAGCAGCCAATGTCATGGTCTCTTTTTACTGTGGTCAAAGCTACTAGGAAGAAGCAGAGACAGAACTGCTTCAGTGGTGCCCTCTAAATGTATTAATTGCAACAGCTGATTACTATAACAGGAAGCATTCACTCCTAACCTATTTTTCCTTTGCAATAATTTGCTTCTAAAGTAGATGAAGAACTAGGATTGAACTTGGTATCTTTATCTGTTCTTGTTGTTTTACCCCATAATTTTAATCTCTTCAAACCACCGCATTTTGGTTTGCTGTTTCAATGCTACATGTAATGCTCTTTTAGAAATCTCTTTGATTAGAAAGCCCAATTATGCTCCCCTCCCCCCTTAGAAGTACATCCTTGCAAAATTCAACTGCCTTAATTATTGTTCTTTAGAAAGTAGATGGATGGGTGTGATCAAGCTTGTGTTTTTGGTTTCTACCATCACTCATGTTTAAAATGGGAAAAGGGAAGAACACCTTTAAATTCCTTTCTGCCTCTAATTTTATTAATCTACACTGCAAAATATTAGGAGGGGGATGCATTAAACGCCCCCCTCATACACATTCCAGACTATTTCACCTGTATTAGTGCTTTGACTATAGATAACCCTTGAGTAGCAAGGGTTATGTACAAACTGGGTTATGGACATGACAGGGAGCAAGATTAATTATCCGTGGTCCCTCCATGGTCTTTTTAGCATTTTTCTGGTAATTGATAAATTACATGGACTTGGTTAAAAATATTCTATTAAGAAGTGTAGAATATTTTAATTAACTATCAAAATTTTGAGCCTTCCATACAACCTTGAATGCAGCCTGAATATCTATGTTAAACCTCAGTAGAGTTTAATTCTCTACACAATTTATGAACGTGTGCACACAGCCAGCTTGACTGAAGAAAAAGAAAGTAATTAGGGTAACGTTATTGATAACAAACAGCAATGAGTCATCACGTAGCATTTATAGAGATTATTATAGTGAAAGATTTACAAAAAGGGAAATCATGCATCATTTTCTCCATTTTTACAATGAGAAGCAAAAAGGATAAGTGCCTTGTCCAGAGCCATGCAGAATACTGGTGGAAGAGGTGGAATAGAGCTCAGGTTTTCAGACATTATGCTTCATGCTCTGTACATTCTGTGTGGTAGTACAGCCATTTATTAGCAATTTCCTCTGTCATACTGTAATCATTCCTATGCCAACTCCATCAGTGATGGTTTACTTCAAGAAGGAAGATTTTACATTAATTCATGATTCCGTTCCCCTGAAAAATCATTAATCAGCTGGTTTACATTTCACTCTTCAGTTTAACCCAAAAACCCAGAGATCCACAGCATATCTGCAACCTTGACAGCCCTGAAACTCTGGTCTAGAATGCTGCATGCAGCATCTCTACATACGCCCAGGCTCTTAATTCCATTCCTCTATTTGGTTGGCAGCTTTCTTAACTCAGAGGGTTCATCATACATGGCATATTTCTCTTACATATATACATTCAGCATTGCTAAGAGACTGGCATTATAGATCAAGACTGTGGATTTTATTCTATTGAGAAAGAGAGAGACACCCAGGTATCTACTTACTAATAAATTAGCCTCCATACTCATCCTTTTATTCTGGGTGGGACAGTTCAGGTTAAATAGGTCTCACTGTAAATAACTAGCACAACTATCCTCTGGTTACCTCCTGTGATCTTCTTCTCATAGCAAAGCCTATTTCTGGTGTGTAGAATGGTTTATCTGGCCTTCTAGGTCTTCACAAAACTGCTTATTAGGGGCCCAATAAAGACTTTTTGGGCCAATACTGATGGCTGATTGTTAATGAGCCACATCAGCCGATACTGATCTGATTGCCAATATGCAGCCCGGCAGCTTGGAGAGCAGCATCTGGCTGGTAAGTCTGTCGGAGGGAAGGGCTGGGTCAGACTGAGGTCTTTATGGTGAGAGAGGGACTGGGGCTGGGGTTGCCCAGCTTGGGCAGGGCACAGGACCGAGCTGCAGTCCACTTGTCCAGGGGTCACAGGGAGGTAGGAGGCAGTTCCTGCCACTGTGTGCAACCCTGGGGGAGTCACTAGGGGGGGCACATGCCCCCCAGATCTGTGCAAAGGCGGGCTGGGGACAGCACCAGGCTTTTCCCGGGGGGGAGGAGGAGGGGGTTGGGCCAGGGCTGTGTTCAGGGTGGGCAGCAGCACTGGGAGGGGGAGGTTTCAGGGGGCGGGGCTACAGTGAATTCAGGAGTGGCTGTAGCCCCTCTGTAGTACGCTTCCCAGCGCCGCCGCCAGCCCTGAGCACAGCCCTGGTCCAACCTTCCCACCAGAAAGAGCCCAGTACCACTCCTGGTGCAGATACAATATGGACAGGTATATTGGTGTATCTCTACTGCTTGTAAGATTAAAATCAGCATGTAACTTTCTGAAAAGTTACTCTTAAAACTGAAGCCTAAAGTCTGATGGAATTAAAAACAGAAGACAAAAACCAAAAAGAAACTTCACCACACTTACAGAAGAGTATAAATATGAACTATTTGGCCATAGAACACTATAATTTTTTTCTGCATAATAAATGTCAGGAACAGTTAAAGTGTCTCATTTGGGGTTTTAGTGCCAAAACTATTGTTGTTATCTGAAAATGAAATGATGTTATATATCCAAAAAAGGTATGTATGGAGTACAGCAAAGAAATATTGTGGTCCAAAGATATTTAAATGAGCTGTTTAATAAAATTACTCAATTCACTGAAGAAGTATGCCAAAATATTTTCTAAATAAGTGAAAGAAGGAAGACTGGCTCTAACAGAAAATGAAACTAATGCCTTGCATGGAGTCCAACATTGTTTTATTACCAAGAAAACAGAGCCACAGAGATTTGGCTTTGTTGTGGGGTTTTGTTTTTAAAAAACATTGCTCTCAAGCCACTATTACAACAGGTGTGTTAAACTATCATAATCCCAAAAGCAGCACTGTGCCTAGAATTACATCTTTGACGTGAAATTTATTTTATCTCCCTTGTGGAGGAGAGCAAAGATCTTCCATTATAAAACACAGAAACCTCTGGTTTTAACTCTCCTGTCTGCAAGACTGCCTCTCTCCTGACACTTGATACACATCAGGACCTATCTGAGGTGTACCAAATGCCCTGAATTCCCACTGCAGTCAGTGGTCATTAAGGGTACTCCTCATTTGGCAGGAAGTGTTCTGTATCTCAAAAATCAGTCACGTCTTAGCCTAATGAGAGGGTGAAAAAGGAGGGAATATACATTTCATTAGAGTTAGTTGCTTCCTAACTACTAGGATTTCTTTACAAAAAGAAGGATATTTAGCCATCACTAAAAAGCACTCTTAAAAGCTATCCAGAAGAAACACCATGTACCCTTTACCAAACTGCAAAGTACTGAGCCCCTCATACATTCAGGCATTGCCAGCCCACTGGGTGCATCTATACATTTACTGCAGTAGACTAATTAGCTGTGCAGTAAACATTGTACGTCTATATGTGTGCCCCAATTAGGCTGAAGCAAACTAATATACTCTGCTGTAGGATAGTACTTGGAAATAAAGTATTATCTTGCTGCAGAGATTTTTTTACTCCACAGCAGTGCACATGTAGACATTGTGCCAGTTGGCTGGGGCACACGGGTGCTTCAGCGTGGGGGCTGCCTATTGGCTAGCCCTGCCCTCCCCCCGCCGAAGCACCCTCCTGCCCTAGCAAGCTCGTCTGCAGCATGTTGAGCCAGGACTGCTCCGACCTGACCTGTTGTCACTGGAAGCCTGCTACTTGC